TTGGCCATCCTGGCTTCCAAGGAGCACTCTGGCTGTACTTAATCCAATACAGATCTGTTCTTTTGGCAGTTCCATGGTACCCCTGATACTCTCCTCCAGCTCCATAACCCATATGTATCAGTTCTTCTACAGTCTTTCTTATTCAATGTCTAACTTTCCCACGCAGATGAAGTTATTCTTGGATCAGGTGCACCTTCGTCCTCAAACTGACATCTTTGCTTTTCAGTACTTTAAAGATATCTTGTGCACCAGATTTGCCTAATGCAGTACTTTGATATCTTGACTGCTGCTACCATGAGTGTTGGTGGTTGATCTGAGCAAAATGAGATCTTTGACAACTTCAGTCTTTTCTACATTTATATGGATGTTATTTATTGGTCCAGTGGTGAGGATTTTTGTTCTTTTTACATTGAGGTGCCACCCATACCAAAGGTTGTGTGGTCTTTGATCTATATTAGTAAGTATTTTAAGTCCTGTTCACTTTCAGCAAACAAGGTTGTTAATGAGTCTGTGTCCGACCTGTGATGGTATAGGTATTCAAGTAACTCATTGTCCTCTGGTGTCATACCAAGTTTTTACATGCAGAATTACATGTCACTTAAAAATAAACATAGATTCTATCATTTAAATAATGACATCTGTTTAATGAATAGTTGCTGAGTGCTAGGATTCTCCAAGGTCTTGGTATGCTGTTTCTAAGCCTTTTGACAGCCGTACAAGACAACCCTAGTAAGTGATTTTATCCTGTTTTGAATCTTTAATAATTGTGCATGGCACATGAGGAGATTTGTCTTCAAATGTAGAAACCAAAACACAGCCTAAGAAAATTGTCTAGTTAGCAATCAGACACAGACACTTAAATATTTTGAAATTGGTCAGTAGGCAGTATAAGGTGTAGATAAGCTATAATGTGAGGTTCCGTTGGAAGTTTCTCTATTTTAGCCTTATGACATTTCAGAAGACTGGCGCTGGAAGACTAGAGGTCAATATGAGCCTGACAAGATGAGAATTGGGAAAGGCATTCCAGCTAGAGGGAACAGCATGGGATAAATCCCTGTGGATAGGATGTGGTGGGGTGGGGATGGGACAGAAGTCTCTTTTTTTTGGGGTGGGGGGACTGCTACAGAAGGGAGAGTGGTAGAAAATGAACATGGAAGCCAAGCAAAATCATTTGTTCTTCATTCCATAGATAATGAGACTAGAATTACTGTAACAAACAGAAGTGGATAGGAAGTATTAGGGAACTGAAAAAGAATCGTTAACACATAATAGTGTTTACTATCAGCCACCCACTGTTCTGAGAGCTTCACATATATTAATTCATTGAATTCCCACAACACTCTGTGAAATAAGTCTAGTGTCTGTCCAGTTTTACTGATGAGAAAGTTAGAACTTTCCAAGATTAATTGAAATATAGTAATTTCTTGATAGACTTGGCAAGTTATGAGACATCTGTGCCATGGAATAGTATGAAACCATGAAAATTGATGCCGTTGATGTATGTTAGTTGCCTTACAAAAAATGTTCACCGTGTATTTAAGTTTACAATAGATATAGTTGTTATTGTTGTTATGTGCTGTGGAGTCGGTCCCAACTCATAGCCACCCCGTACAGGCTGTAAATCTTTACGGGAGCAGAAAGCCTCATCTTTCTCCCGTGGAAGATATAGTACGTCTAATTTTTGTTCTACTTAGAAGTAATGTGTGCTTATTATACATTTTAAAATTTTATAAAGTAAAATAAGGACTTCTGGTATGGCGCTGTAGGATCAGCACTAGACTGAGAACTACAAGGTTGGCAGTTCAAACCCACCAGGGACTCTTGGGAAACCCTATGCAGGGTTGTTAGGAGTAGAAACCGACTTGATGTACTTTACAACAACAAAGTAAAATAAAACTATATTTTTCTCTTACTCTCATTCCAGATTCCCACTCTATAAAGGCAGTTATTATTAATAGTTTGGAAAGTATTATTCCAGATATTTTCTTGTGTGCAAATAACCATAAATGATATTAGATGTTTTCGAATTAATCCAACTCATAGTGACCCTGAGTACAACGACACAAAACACTACTTCATTCTCTACTCTCATTTGAACCCAGCATTGCAGCCACTATGTCTGTCCATCTCTTTGAGCGGCATCCTCTTTTTCACTGATCCCCTGTTTTACTCAGCATGTCTTTCTCCAGGGACTGTTTCATTTTCCAAACTAGAATGTGCGATTAAGTCTTGCCATCCTAGCTCTTAAGGTGCATTCTGGCTGTAGTTCTTCCAAGACAGATTGGTTCTCTTCTGGCAGTCCATGGTATAGTTGATACTCTTCGCCAACATAATTCCAAGTTCATCTTTAGTCTTCCTTACTCATTGGAGTGCTGGTGACAATGTAGGATAAGTACTGGATTGCTAACCACAAGGTCAGCGGTTCAAACCCAGAAGAGACTCTGTAGGAGAAAGATGCCACTTTCTGTTTCCAAGACCATTTCTAGTCTTAGAAACCCTGTGGAGGGTCTCTGTGAGTCAGAATGTTGTGACATCACCTAGCAACATCAACATTCATTGTTCAGCTTTCACATGCACATGAGGTGATTGAACACGTGGTGGCACAATGGTTGATCACTTGGCTGTGGTTTGAACCTACCAGCCAACCCACTTCATGAGAGGACTGTGGTAGTCTGCTTCTGTAGAGGTCACAGCTTAGGAAACCCTATAAACCCTAGACTTCTGTCTTTCTGTCACAGGGTCATTATGAGTAAGGATTGATTCAAGGGCACACAACAATAATAATGGAAGAAAAGACCATAATTAAATAAGCTTCTATTTCTTTGTTTCATGAAGTACCCAAACAAACTTAATTCTTAGATTGCAAAACTCTTCCCAGTATAATGTTACTTCAGTTCAGATTCTGTATTTTTGTTTGGTTCACAGGTTGTTTATTGAAAAGCACTAAGTTTGCTTATTCATTCTGTAAACAGGAAAGGGAAAAATAATGGGGCAGTTATTAACTCGGGCTTAATTTACATTTTATCAGTTAATCAGGACCTTTAATTTTTCTCTTTTCCCATCTTTTTTCTTTTTTCCTTCTAGTTCATTCAAGTTTATAAGTTTTGATCAGGCCACTACAATGTTGTTGTTGTTAAGTGCCGTCAAGTCGGTTCTGACCCAGAGCGACCCTGTATAGGGTTTCGAGGCTGTAAATCTTTACAGGAACAAAAAGCCTCATTTCTGCGGAACCGCTGGTAGGTAGTTTTAAACTGTTGACCTTGAGGTTAGCAGCCCAACTTGTAACTACTATGCTACCAGAACTCCTTGTGTAGTCAGATTTTAAAAACACAAAAGTACCCTTCTTGCCAAATTGATAATAAAGCAAGATGCTTCCCAATAAACATTTGTCTCCACACATGGTCATTTTTTCATAGTTATGGATAATTCTATAAAACTTAAGATGCTTTTGTATTGTCATAGCAGTGACAACAACAACAAAAATCTTAGCCCTTTATTATCTTCACAGAGGTAGTGGTGGATTAGGGGCACATGGGAGGTGTTTGATGACACCAGGCCAAGACAGAAAGGTGATGTGATGAATATGAAAGTGGAAATAGAGAAGTTATGTTTTGTTCCCCACCCCTGTTTGCTTAAGGGCTGTTGGGAGAAAGAAAAGACAGTCTGCCGCTTGGAAACCATCTGGTTCTCTGTCCAGTAGGGTTCCTATGAGTTGGAATTGATTCAGTAGCAGTGTGTTTGATCTGGTTAGCTGAGATGCCCTAATATGAAATGGTGATGTGTCTTTAACCCCTCATGAATAGAGTCACGTGACTCCCATGCAGCAAGATGGCAACTCCTAATGCTTGACTAGGATTACAATGCCACTAATAATTACTGTTGTTTAAGACCTGTAGCAAGAGTCTGGGTAAAATGATAGGATCAGAGAAAGCAGCATGATCTAGACTTGAACAACTTCCTATAACAGTGCACTTCAGTAGAACTTTTGTGTGGTGATAGAAATGTTTTCTGTCCATGCTGTTCAGTACGGTTGCTATGAGCTATATATGATTGTTAGGACTCGGCATATGGCTAATGTGATGGAGTAACTGGATTTTTATTTTTATTTAATTCTAAATTTAAATGACTATATATGGTTGCTGTTGTGCCATCGAGTCAGTTCTGACTCATAGCAACATTGTATAGGGTTTCTAAGGAGCAGATGGTGGGTTTGAATCACAGACCTTGTAGTTCAAACTGACCTTGAGGTCCAGTGCTTTATCTCACAGTGCCACACCAGGACTTCAAATATGCTAGTGGCTACCAATAAGACATAGAACATGCCTATACCTGACCTTGCCAGTTTCCTCCTCACAAGTAAGACCATGTCACTGTTCTCAAAGAGCACAAAGCTTCTGGAAAGAGCTGACCAATAATTAACCTTAAGATGAAACCCGAAAAATGTAAAGTAGAGAAGAACTAGAATACGCCCTGTTGAGTGGAACCAAATTTAGAGGAAATGTTAGCGAAAGTTAGCATGAGCCAGACATTGAGGTTGCACCTTTCAGGGTTGGTATGTCTTTCATGGACTCCTGGTGTGGAGGATCAGCACTGGAGTATGAACCACAGGGTTGACAGTTCAAGCTCACGAGTTGCTCCTTGGAAACCCTATACAGGGTCGCTATGAGCTGGAACCGACTCGACAGCACTTCACAAAAACAGCACCATGTCTTTCATATTGGGAAAACTTGAGCAGTGATTTTTTTATTTTTTTTTTTAGTTTCTGAGTATGATTTTGGAAACAGGAATGTCTATATCATTTTCAAACCCACCATCCACGCCTCATCAACCCTATACAGGGTCTTTAAGAGTCGGAACCAGCTTGAGGGTACTTAATAAGAACAACCATGATAAGAAAAAAATACTGAGCTGCTGTTACAACTTTAGAATGTCACCATTTTGCAGTTCTTTCTGTCTTCCAAATCAGTAGTTTTAAGAATTTTAATATATTTTTTCTCTAGATTTTTGCTTCAGTGTCTCGAGGATCTTGATGCCAATCTGCGAAAATTAAACTCTCGTCTGTTTGTGATTCGTGGACAACCAGCAGATGTGTTTCCCAGGCTTTTCAAGGTAATGTGAAAAACCTTTGCCTAAAATAGTAATATTTTTATCAGAGAAGTTTAGTAACATATTTGATAAATAAAGCATTTGGAAATTTAAAATGTGGTGAATGTAGTATTTTTAAATTGCTGCTGTTGTTAAGTGCTATTGAGTCATTTCCAACTCATGGCAACCCTGTATAGGGTTTCTGAGGGGTGGCTGGTGAGTTCGAACTGCCGACTTTACAGTTCATACTGACCTTGGGGTTGAGTGCTTACCCTACAGTGCCACACCAGGACTCCAACATGGTAAAATCAGACAGTGAAAAAAGTTGTTTTCAATGAAAAGTCCAATTTTATGTCTACCTTAACCATTCATCCCCCTTCTAAAAGTAACCAGATCGTACACTGTTTCTTGTGTATTCATTAGAGATGTTCTTTGGATAAACAGACATTTATTTATCTCTGTGAGTACTCTGCCCCCTTTTGTTAAAACCTAGAAGGGAGCGCACCGGATGCACATTTTGTGCGTCGATTTGTTCACATAACCACATCCACACAAATAACTTCCTCCTTCTTTTAGGTGGCCCCATAGTAGGACTCCATTGTGTAGAGGTACTGTAATTTCTTTAACTAGCTTTCTGTTATTTTCCCCCGGCCTTTTATTTACCAAGTATGTAACACAAATAGTGCTGCCAGTGAACATGTATGACCACATATATGAAGGCATTTCTAAAAGTTCATAGAAAAATTCGTTTATCTCTCAATTTCATGTTTTCCACAAACTTTTTGAAGCCTCTTCATATATAATTTTGCTCACATGTGCCAGTACATTTGTGGGACAATTCTGTGTCAAAGAATTATAATTATTGGCATGTTGTTGATAAAACAAGATAGTACTTACTTTGATTTTTAATTTGATAGAATCTTAAAAATCTCCTAGTGGGATTTTCCTTTATTTCCAAATATAAAAATTAGACCTGATACCTCATAGATTCATGAGTTACCAAGGTCATACACCTACCTCTCCTACAAGTGTTCATACTCTAAGTCAGGTGTCCTGTTAGTCCTTATATCCGTATGCTTTCCTGTTTACTGCCATTAGAATTCCTAAGTGTATGTCTGCTTTTGCTTGCAGCTGTTTGAGTCATCACATTGCAGTCTTTCCAATACAGAAAACAGCAGTGCCTTTCTTCCACTGGTTTAAAATAAACCTTTTATGTTTAAGGCTTATCTCATGTATTGGACTTGGCTAGTGAAAATGTATTTTTTAGTAAAGTCCATTCAATACTGCAGCTACTTAGTCAGAATTTAATTTAGGTAAACGGAAATTTTCTGATTAGAAAGAAACAATGGCAACAGTTTATTAGCAACTCAAGAATTTAAGAGTATGTGTGGATAACTCTAAATCCATTTCATATAAGTAAAATGAATCCTAAAAGAACTTTTTGTTACTTTAAGAATAGTAAAATTTACATTTACTTGTTCTTGCACAAGCTTTGTTAAGCCAGAAAAGTCTAGAGTTTTTTTGTTTTGATGTTTCTTCTGCTTAAATATTAATGGATCAAACTATCTTCTGCAGTTAGACAATGTCCTGTCTTGGCAGAGACAAAAGCTTCCACATGAGCCATAAAATACAGTTGAGAAATGCAAACACCGCTTCTACATATATAGGTCACTTGTTATTTGATTCCGATTTTACTTTGGCCTGTATGCAGTGTTGTTGCTGTTGTTGTTGTTAAGTGCTGTCGTGGTGATTCCGACTCATTGTGACTCTGTGTAGGGTTTCCAAGGAGCACCTGGTGGGTTTGAACCACTGACCTTGTGTGCTTATCCTACAGTGCCACACCAGCATTACTCCTTCTATGGCTCTGTAGAGAGTACATATATCTGAAAGGGATTTTTCATAGAACGGTATTTTATTCAGATCCTGGTGTGACACTGTAGGATAAATGCTGGACCCCAAAGTTAGTTTGAACTTCATGGTTGGCTACTTGTACGGGGTCGCTATGAGTCAGCACCAACTTAGTGACACTTAACAACAGCTTCTCACTTAGGAGCAAGATGGCTCTTTAGGGTTAACTCTGGACTGTGGGCCACAAGCTTGGCAGTTCAAGCCCACCAACCACTCCACTGGAGAAAGATGAGGCTTTCTGAGCCCATAAAAGAATGACAGACTAGGAAATCCTATACAGGTTCTTTATGAGTTGGCACTGACTGGATGATTGTTGTTAACAATAACAACTCCTCACATACCAAATTTCATTATCCACCATTTATAATTTATGTCACTAGTAAGAAATCTACTGTCCAACTTTTGCACATTAGTAACATAGCATCTGGCAGTAACAAATGCCAAAGCGTGAGGCAAGAGTAACACTTGCTGGATTGGGTAGGGTTCTATGTAAGCTTGGTTGAAGCATGATCCTCCTTGGTGTGGCAGTAATGTCATGATGCAGCCATCCTCCATGTTTGTTTAATGATCTGGTCTTTGGAACCTACTCAAGTCGATAAACGAGGAGTAGGTGTATTACTGTTTGATTTTTTACTTTTTGTGTTTTAGATGTGTACTATATGCATATGTGATAAAAAATTAAAACTCTAAAGGCACATCCAAATAAAGCAGGTATTTCTCCCAGCCTACCCCTCATTCACTTCTGAGGGAGATTCTTTCGTTAGTAACTAGCGGACGTACTTAAATTAGTGTCTCTGGTTTTATTATTCTGTGATAGTAATAGAATAGTAAGTACAACGAATAGTGAGAATTTTGAATGGGTCAGTAATCCTGTTACATATTAAGTGTTCACACTTTGTATCACATATAGTTAGGATGTTGTTGTTGTTACGTGCCATCAAGTCTGTTCTGACTCATGATAACCCTGAATAGGGTATCTAAGTAGCAGCTGGTGAGTTTGAACCATGGACCTTGTGGTATTTAGATTCTGTGTTTTTAATCACTACCTACACTGCCTCACTAGCAAACAAAGAAATATAATACTTTTCTATACTCATTTTAATTAATTTCTAAATTTAAAAACTTTATACTCACAAATATGAACAATGCAGGAGTGCATAAAAAGTTTTAAATAATCTCATCAACACTTCTAATTTATATTCCCAAGAGCTTGGTGTGCATTCGTCAAGACTTTGAATAAAAGGAAAATTTAAACAGTGAGATACTATTTTTCTCCTAGTAATTTAGCAGAGATTTTAAAAAGACATTAACACACATTACTGGCAAGACTGTGGGGAGTAAGCACACTGCATTGTCCACCAGTGGGGCTGTGAATTGGTACAGTGAGTGGGTCTTCTGAAAAATTTGCCAGTGTCCATCAGAATTTTAAATGTGCTGATCTTTGATCCATGAATTGTTTTTCTAGGAATTATTCCAGGGAAATAATAGAACAAAAGCCCCCAAAATGTATAAGATGTCTATATACACTGTAAAGTGTATCATAGCGTTTGTTTTATAAATTGGTAGCAGCCCTTGTCCAATCTATAGGTGTTTGGACACATTACAGGTGATTTAGTGTGTGTGTGATATCAAGTAGATTTTAGAATTTCAAAACCTTCACTATGTCCTTGGGAAATTACTTAATTCCCTAAAGTTCCAATAAGGACAGATTAGGGTAGCATCTGGTACTAATTGGCAGCTGCAATTGTGCTTACTGTCTCCAGCTTTTGCAGTGAGCATTGTTGTTGACAATCAGAAATAAAATACTTTATATCCTCAGCAAAGCAGCTGAAACCTTATCAACTGTCAAAAGTTTGTTAAAGACTAAGTGTTAGAGCCAGCAGCCACATAAATTCAGGTTTGACAGTCTAACCTGAGCAAATCCCTAAAATTTGTTAAATAACCTTGTCTGCAAAACGGAGATCCTCATTTGCGGACCAAATGAGATATAGCATATACGCAAGTAATTAGGAAAAATAAAGGACTATACAAACACATTTAGTATATTGTTGTTAGGTGTCCTTGACTTGGTTCTGATGCACAGTAGAACGAAACAGTGCCCAGTCCTATACCAGTCTCACAGTTGCTGCTACATTTGACCCCATTGCTGCTGCCACTGGGCCAGTTCATCTCGTTGGGGGTCGCCTTCTTTTTCACTGATCATTCACTTTACCAATCATGATGTCCTTCTTCAGGGACTGGTCACTCCTAGTAACATGCCCGAAGTATGAGAGATGAAGTCTGGCCACCCTGGCTTCTGAAAAGCATTCTGGCTGTTCTTGTTCCAACACAGATTTGTATATTCTCTGGCAGTCCATGGTACTTTTCATATTTTTCTTCAGTGACATAATTCAATTCTGAAACAGTGCGTCAATTCTGAAAGTCTTCCTTATTCACTGTCCAACTTTCTCATAGGCATATGAAGTTATTGAAAATAACATGGCTTGGGTCAGGCATACCTTAGTCTTTAAACTGACATCTTTTCAGTGTTGGAAGTTGGTTTTAAGCATATGCTAGATTGTCTAATGCCTAGCACAATGCTCAGAATATAATGAGTATATACATTTGTATATACATACATACATGTTTTTTAATTAATAAAGTATACAATTACCAGTCTAAGTCAAAAAGTATTGCTTTGTTACTAGGGTTCCAGTTCATACATGCACAGGTTGGTTCCAAGCAAAATATATTTAAACATGTGTTTGCAATCACTGGATAGCTGCAGGTAAGTTCTCTCAGGATTATACTTGTCTTAGTCTTGTGACTTATGCTTCAAAAAAAGGTCCAATTAAAACTAGCTTCCAAGGGGATGTGCTGGGCAAGTTAAATTCAAGGCAGATGGGTCAGTTCAGAAGGTTATAATGACTGTTTTTCGGGATTCCCGAGGAGTAATTTGATAGATTTTCTTGAAATATTAGGGAAACTTATTAGGAAGAAGTTGTAAGAAAATTGACAACTGCAGTGAGAAAAAGGCCTGACAGCTTTGCTGAGAATTTTTTCGTATCATGACAGTGCATTTTATCATTCTTTCAGGGTAGCCAGGGCTGTCCTACAGGATTTCATTGGGGAACCTCACCATTTAGTTCTGATGTAGCCCCTTCGTACTGGTTCGTACTTCCCCAAACTCAAAGAACAGTGAAAAGGAACACCATTTGGTTCACCCAAGGATACCGCAGCTGCTGTTTAGACTGTTGTAAATCGAAGAGCACAGAATTCTTTGGGGAAAGAGTTAGGGAGATGGAAAGACCAACTCAGAAATGTATAGACTTAGATGGAGGCTATGCTGAGGAACAGTAGCTTCACAATTGGAAATTGTTGCTGAATAAAGGTTTCTTTTTGCAGCAATACTTTTTGACTCACCCTGCGTACTCAAAGTTTAATTAATGTATTACCATAGATACGTGGATTTTGAACTTTTCAGGCTTTTTCTCTCCTTGGTTATGAAAACTTGCACACTATTTTTCCCATGCTCTTATTTTAGGAATGGGACATTACCAAACTTTCAATTGAGTATGATTCTGAGCCCTTTGGAAAGGAACGAGATGCAGCCATTAGGAAACTGGCTACAGAAGCTGGAGTAGAAGTCATTGTACGAATCTCTCATACATTATATGACCTAGACAAGTAAGTTTTACAGCTGGGACTTTTAAGTTTGTAAAATGAAAATAGCAATATGTACATCATAGAGGTGGGGGAAAATTAATTGAACATATGTTAAATCCTTAACATAGCAGCTCTGATTTTTATCTATCCAGTGACAGGTATCAAACCAAAGGATAGTGCAAGGGATATAAATAACCTTATTAGAGTGTCAAAAAATATTTCCTGACAGCCTGTTGCGGACTTGTCTTTCTGGGCTCTTAGCATTATTAATTTTATAATGTATAGGATATGTAACCATAAACTACCTTGATCTTTTATATGATTATGTTATTATTTTATTTTGTATGTGCTTACGTTTTCTCCTTACCTGGATTTTAAACTCAGATGCAGATTTTACATGTTATTGCTTCACAAAGCTATTGTTCTCTGAACACAATGGCGTACATAGTGCCATAGTTCCACAGTATATTCCCTGAAACACCAGTCTCTGGTGAAGGCTTAGCCAACAAAGAGTTTGTGATCAAATGTCAGTGAAGTAAGTATTACATAACTCTGAGTGACTTTTGGAAATTCATAAGGTTTGCTAACTTATTAAAACTTTTGGCATATAATCATTCTTACAATACTAAAATCTCATAATTCATGTACTTTTAAATCATTTTACTTTTTAGTTATATACAAGTTTCACCAAGTTGATTAATTCAAAAGCAGTTCATTCTACTTTCCCAGGTATCTACAAAAAAATGTACGTGAAGCACCAACCATTCCTCCCACAACCCTCTTTGTCAGCTGGATTGAATAGTTTGTTACAGTGGTCACCCAGAACTCACAGTTACGGCATTTAATAGGGAAGCTAACAAGTTACAGTTTGGTGTTGGAAATGCTCAGGGCACAGCTATTCAAGTCAGCAGCTGACAAATGCCCATAGGACACACCACTCCACCATAAGCCTCAGCCTGAAGGCACACATCTCTACCTCCGTGGGTCAGCAAACCTAGCATCCCCACTTAAGTACCTGGACACACGCAGAGTCACTCAGTTTTGTTTGCTCTGTAGTCTGGGAAATCTACTGCTCTGTCTCGTCCTTGGGATCTTGGTTCTGGTGCTGTTCCTCTGCCAGCCCTCTGGTGTCACAGCTTTCTGGCCCTGGGTCGGGGAGGTTCAATGCACAGGAATTTTGGGGTCCAAAGTACCCACTCCACTTTTGGCTCTTTGTCTCTATGGTAGTGAGATTCCCCCCTTTCTTATTTGGCTTATTTTTAACCCATGTTAGAATTTCAAGTTTTTACAATGACAGTGAACTCTGCTAACATCCGTAGTTGAATCCTGTTATTCTGTTAGTGTCTTCTCCCACTTTCTCTTACCCAGACCCAGCAGGGCAGAAATGTTTGGTGGGAGTTCCAGATTGTGGTTAGAAGAGACATTAGAGAATTCACTATACCACAGCCCGTGCTTTTAGTCTTTGTCCCTTTCATACATGATAGTGTGTGCATTTTAACTGTACTCACCCATGAAAGTTTATAAGCCAGCCACTTCATGCCATTTTGTCCCCCATTTTTGATAGCCAGTATCTAAACTTCCCATCCCTATCAATCCAGTCCCCTAAGGAGACAAATATGTTCATTGATATGAAGAATCTATAGTTCTTATTGGGACTTTAGGCTTCTGCATTCATTAGCAAAGTCCAGTCCAGAGCCAGCCATCAAAGTGCAGCAGTTTATACCAGCTCACAGTATCCGATCTGTTCTTCTTCCTTCACTTGAGTTCTAGTCTGTTCATCCCTAGCCATCCAAACTAATTCAAATGGGTACCAGCTGTAAGCTTGGGAGTCCACACACACACTTCCCTGCACTTCAGACCAGCTGGCCCTTTCATTCTCTCAGTCCTACTTCCCCTCCTCCCCCTCCCCCCATGGGCTAGGTCAGTGACTATAGGCTCAGGAATCCACACAACCCCCTAAACTTCAAAACAGCCAGCCCTATCTTTTCCTTCTCTCTACTCATCACTTCATTGCTGCAGTCTCCCCACTTTCCACTCAGTAAGTGAACCCAGGTAGTCAGCAGTGAGCATACCAGGCTATCACCTTGCTGGCTTCCTTTAACTTTCAGTCCCAGAATATGGTTTTGTCTGACAGGTGCAGACTTTTCCTGCCTTGCTTGCACAAAATTCATGCTTGTCATTCCGTTCTACGGGTCTTTCCTTCACAGGTGAATCGCATATTCTCTCAGCGGTTCTGGGTGGGACTCAGGTTTCCACCTAAGCCACTTACTGTAGACACAAGCATGTTCCTTCTGAGCAATTCCTAACTCCCATTTTTGCGTATCCAATCAAGACTACACTGAAAGCGGGCTTATGGGCTCTCCATAATCCTGACACTCAAGCAACCTTTGTCCAGTAGCAACTTTTCTCCCCTGAGCTGCAGCATAGCATCTTACACATTCCTTTTAACCATTACAGTTAACAGTGAGCCAAGTAACCATTTAGGAATCATAAGTTTCTTTTGTTGAAATATGAATTCATTGAAGCATTTAGTGATTTCAAGTAAGTAGAAAAGGTGCATAATTTTAAATAATTTGAAACCAGATTAGTTAGGGGGTAGGGGACAGCTTAAATGTTTTCAGTGTGCGACTAAGATACATTTGCTAAATCCTAATTAACAAGACTTTCTATTGATCCGTGGTATATGTATTGGCCTGGTTTTGTTTTTATTTGATACTTGAGAGATCCACTGAGCTGGGTTGTAATATATTTTTTGTACCCAATTATGACAGCCGTTCAAAAAGTACATGAACAAATGAAATTCAAAATAGTGGAACTGTTCTATGTTTAGGCAAATTTAACCACTTTGCTGTTGTTTTTCCATTCGTAGGTGCTTAACACCTGTTATCTTAAGGGTATTGGTATTTGCATATTGCGTGTTTTTTTCTATGTAGCAGATATTTTGAAAATGAATGGAATGATTTTTAGACTCAGTAACCATTCTAAACCAGTGTTCTGGTCATAGAAAAAGCTAACATTCTCTAAGAAATTTAAGTAATTCATTTTATAGTCTGGTTTGCAGCCTTTCTGAGCTTATCAACCCAAAAATACATTCCTTGTTCTCCTAAACTGCATTTTACTGACTCTTATCATAGGATCATAGAGCTCAATGGTGGACAACCACCTCTCACTTACAAAAGATTCCAGACTCTCATCAGCAAAATGGAGCCCCTCGAGACACCAGTGGAGACGATTACTTCAGAAGTAATGGGAAAGTGTGTTACTCCTCTGTCCGATGACCATGATGAGAAGTATGGAGTCCCTTCGCTGGAAGAACTCGGTGAGCATTTGCTGTTGTTAGGAGCCATCGAGTCAGTACCGACTCATAGTGACCCTGTGCACAACAGAACCAAACCCTGCCTGGTTCAGGGCCGCCGTCAAAATTGTTGCCACGCTTGAGCCCATTGATGCTGCCACTTTGCCAGTCCATCTCGCTGGGGGTCTTCTGCTTTTTCTCTGACCCTCCATCTTACCAAACATGATCTCCTTCTCCAGCGACTGGTCCTTTCTGACAGTATGTCCAAAGTATGAGAGACAAAGTCTGGCCATCCTGGCCTCCAAGGAGCACTCTGGCTGCACTTCTTCTAAACACAGATCTGTTGGTTCTTTTGGCAGCCCATGGTGGCACTTTCAGTATTCTTCCCCAACACTATAACTCAAATGCATCAATTCTTAAGTGATCTTCCTTATTCATTGTCCAGCTTTCACATGCATATGAGGTTATTGAAAATCCCATGGCTTGGGTCAGGAACACCTTAGTTCTCAAGCTGACATCTTTGCTCTTCAACGCTTTAAAAAAGACTTGTGCAGCAGATTTGCCTAATGCAATACATTGTTTGATTTCTTGGCTGCTGCTTCCATGAGTGTTGATATTTGATCAAGAAGAATGAAGTCCTTGACAACTTCGATCTTTTCTCCATTGATAAGAATGTTGTTTATTGGTCCAGTGGTGAGGATTTTTGTTTTCTTGACATTGAGATGCAATCCATACTGAAGGTTGTGTGTGGTCTTTGGTCTTCATCAGTAAGTATTTTAAGTCCTCTTCACTTGCAGCAAGCAAGGTTGTATCATCTGTAAATCGCAGGTTGTTAATGAGTCATCCTCCAAAACCTGATGCCATGTTTTTCTTCATATAACCTACTTCTCGGATTATTTGCTCAGCATACAGGTTGAATACATATGGTGAAAGAATACAACCCTGTTGCACACATTTCTTCATTTTAAACCATTCAGTGTTCCCATCTTCTGTTTGAACAACTGCCGGTTGGTCCATGTACAGATTTCTCTGAGCACAATTAAGTGTTCCGGAATACTTATACTTTGCAATGTTGCCCATAGCTCGTCATGATCCACGCAGTCGAAAGCTTAGCATAGTCAGTAAAGTACAGGTAAACATTTCTGGTATTCTCTGCTTTCAGCTAAGATCCATCGGATGTCAGCAATGATACCCCTCGTTCCACGGCCTCTTCTGAATACGGCTTGAACCTCTGGAAGATCTCTGTCAATGTATGATTGTAGCTGATGATTTCCGTATTCCATTAGGTCATCTCTCTTTGGAATGGGCATAAATACGGATCTCTTCCAATCAGTCGGCCGGATAGTTGTCTTCCAAATTTCTTGGCATAGATGAGTGAGTGCCTCCAGTGCCACCTCACTTTCTTGAAAGATTTCAATTTTTATTCCATCAATTCCTGGTGCCTTGTTCTTTGCCAATTCCTTCAGTGTACCTTGGACTTCCTCCTTCAGTATCATTGGTTCTTGATCATATGCTACACCTTGAAACAGTTGGACATCAACCATTTCCTTTTAGTACAGTGACTCTGTGTATTCCTTCCATCTTCTTTGATGCTTTCTGCATCATTCAGTAATTTGCCCAGAGAATCCTTCAATAATGAAAGTGGAGACTTGAATTTTTTCTTGAGTTTCCCCAGCTTGAGAAATGCTGAGCATGTTTTTCCCTTTTGGTTTTTTGACTCCAGATCTTTGCACATTTCGTTGTTAGTGATCAAAAATGTGGAGTGTGAGTTTGTAAGTCACAGACCAGTTTTAGTTCTGCCCTGTAAAGTATACAGGTGAATACCTTGTGGCTCCATACAGTAAGCACAGGACTACAAACCACAAAGTCAGTGGTTCCTGCCCACCAGCCACTCTGCAGGAGAAAGATGAGGCTTTTTGCTCCCGCAAATATTTATGAGCCTTAGTTACCCTAAGCAGGGTCAATGTGGGTCAGAATGATTTGGCAACACTTAACACCAACAACCACAAGAAGAAGCAAAGAAACCCTTACACTAAGAAGTGATCAATCTGTACATTATCCATGTGTTCTGTAAACATGTGATCTGTCCTTATTACCTTACGGTGTAGGTTCTAAATCACAGAGACCATGTCAAATACTCGATATAGGAAAGCCTATCAAGGGCCCACGGATCATTTTTATGCTAGTCCCATAATTGTTCAGCAAAGTAATTCATTTTCCCAGTTTATTTTGCTTAAGGAAAAATAACTGTTTCAAAAGGATGATTTTTTTCCCTCCTTTTTTAGGTTTTGATACAGATGGCTTATCCTTGGCAGTGTGGCCAGGTGGAGAAACCGAAGCACTTACACGTTTGGAGAGGCATTTAGAAAGAAAAGTAAGATAATATTGAGATATTTTCAAACTTGCATTCAGAAAACAATATCTCACTGGTTTCTTTAAAAGCGAAAAATCTAGACTGTTAAAGGAGGAGAACTGAGGGAAGTGCTAAAGCAGCACAGACCTAATTGAACAACTTTATGTCCTCATTTAAATATCCTTCAGCAGCCTCTTCTCATGATTGCCCCATCCTACCTCTGCTAGTGTCTGATGACCAACATTGAAGCTAGGATAGAGCTCTTCTCTTCTCCCTTGATCTCACTGGACTTGTGAGTGTCATAGAAAGAGTTGCAGGCTCTAAGCCTGGTGTTGGGAATCTGAAGGTAACTTGTTTTACACAGCTCTGTGCTGCATGAAGCTGGCCAAAGCCAAAGAATGCCCAGTTTCTTTTAGTCTGTCTTATTTTTTATGAAAACACATCATTGGTAGCTGGAATAATAATAATATTTTATTCCCCAAGAACTATGTAACTTTAAAACAAGTCTCCATTTTGACCACTCTTAAAATGGAAAATACGGTTAGCTAATGTCATTCTTTGTGTGTATTTTCAGGCTTGGGTGGCAAACTTTGAAAGACCTCGAATGAATGCCAACTCCCTACTCGCAAGTCCTACTGGGCTCAGTCCTTACCTCCGATTTGGTTGTTTGTCATGTCGACTGTTCTACTTCAAACTAACAGATCTCTACAAAAAGGTACTGTTATCTAAAACTGGACCTTGTTTTTCAAACTACTTTCTTTTTTAATTGCCTGATAAATTCTTTCTTTTTTGCTCTTAGGTGAAGAAGAACAGTTCCCCTCCACTTTCTCTTTATGGGCAGCTACTATGGCGTGAATTTTTCTATACTGCAGCAACAAATAATCCGCGCTTTGATAAAATGGAAGGGAATCCTATCTGTGTTCAGATTCCTTGGGATAAGAACCCTGAGGCTTTAGCCAAATGGGCAGAAGGCCGCACAGGTTTCCCGTGGATCGACGCCATCATGGCACAGCTCCGTCAAGAGGGCTGGATCCATCATTTAGCCAGACATGCAGTCGCTTGCTTCCTGACGCGAGGTGACCTGTGGATTACCTGGGAGGAAGGAATGAAGGTAGTTACCCTCACAAATGAAATGTGCTCTTAATTTAAAGAAACCCTGCCTTATTGAAGCAAATTGTGTTATCTATTATGTAGGTTCATTTATAGCCTAGTTTTTTGGTGGATAAAGTACTTAATTCACACACTTTTTAGAGAACATTATGGTGTAGTATACTCCAACAGGAGAGATGGTGAAAACTGATTAATTAGACTATTGTCATTTCAGTGGTTAATTGAGCCTAGCCCATAAAGGGAAGACTAAGATTTTAGTACTCTGGACTTAATTATAGGTGATCATTTCTGTCACCTAAAAAGATTCACCCAAGAATTCTTAGAAATACTGAATTCTATCATAAAATTTAAACGTAAATCTTTCACCCTCATTTCACCATCACAACTTTTGAGGCCCGTTTCTGGTGACGCAGTGGTTAAAGCCCTTGACTGCTAATGACAGGCTGCTCTGCAGGAGGAAGATGCGGCAGTCTGTTTCATAAAGATGACCGCTTTGTTCTGCCTCCAGGAGTGCTATGAGTCAGAACCAATTAGATGGCAGTGGGTGTGGATTTGGGCTGGTGGCACAGTGATCAAGGGCTGGGGTACTAACCAAAAAGGTCAACAGTTTGAACCCACCAGCCTCTCCACAGGAGAAAGGTGTGGCAGTATGCTTTCAAAAAGATTGTTGTTGTTAAGTGTTGTCAAGTCAATTCCGACTGATAGTGACCTTGTGTAGGGTTTCTGCCGAGCATCAGGTGAGTTCACACTGCTAACCTTGTGATTCAAGCAGACTTTGTAGTCTAGTGCTTATTCTGCAGTGCCACACCAGGACTTCATTCAGAAAGATGCCAGCCATGGAAACCCTATGGGCCCATTTCACTCTGCCCCGTAGGGTTCTGGGAGTTGGAATTGACTTGACAGCAGCAGGTCTGGTTTTTGGCTTTAAGGGGAACCATACCACATTTTGTGAGATCATCTTATGGGTCTATGTAATAGGACTTATGTGTATGGTTTATCTTCTTGGCTGTATTCTTTGGTGTAGGACCATCCTTGATTCTGTATTCTTTTGCATCTCTTCTATTTTCGGGTACAAAGTTGTACATGAAGTAAATGTATAACACACACTCAATGAATTTTTTTAAAGTCATTTTAATTCTGTTTCCCTTTTGGATCAAGGAATTCCAAGTTTGGTTGGTTATTTATTTAGCAGCACTTTTCATTTTGGGGAAGTGTTTATGTTTTTCATTTTTTTAAAAAATTCTCTCTGTTACCTATCTTAGCCTTTTAAATTAGTGACATGAGTACTCATTTTCCCCGTCCTTTGCCCCCATAACACTGTGCAGACACTGTTTGGTGCCATTGAGTTAGTTCCCATGCATAGCCCCCTACCTACCTACAACAGAATAGACACAGCCTGCTCTGCCTCATCCTCACAATCATTGTTCTGTTGAAGCCCATCCGACAGCCACTGTCGATCTTGCTTGTCCTCTTTTTCACTGACCCTCTGTATTACCATGCATAATGTCCTCAGAAAGATGTCTACCTGTGCTTTATTGACTAAGCAAAGGCTTTCGACTGTGTGGATCATGACAAGCTATAGACAACATTGCAAAGGATGAGTATTCCAGAACACTTAATTTTGCTCATGAGGAATCTGTACCTGGACCAAGAGGCAGTTGTTCGAACAGAACATGGGAACACTGAATGGTTTAAAATGAGGAAAGGTGTGTGACAGGGTTGTATTCTTTCACCATACTTACTCAACCTGTATGCTGAGTAAATAATCTGAAAAGCTGGGTTCTATTAAGAAAAAACGTGGCATCAGGATTGGAGGAAGACTCATTAACAACCTGCAATATGCAGATGATACAACCTTGCTTGCTGCAAGTGAAGAGGACTTAAAACATTTACTAATGAAGATCAAGGAACACAGCCTTCGGTATGGATTGCATCTCAATATCAAGAAAATAAAAATCTTCACCACTGGACCAATAAACATCCTTATCAACGGAGAAAAGATTGAAGTTGTCAAGGACTTCATTCTTCTTGGATCAACTTTCAACACTCACGGAAGCAGCAGTCAAGAAATGAAACGACGTATTGCATTAGGCAAATCTGCTGCACGAGACCTTTTTAAAGTGTTGAAGAACAAAGATGTCAGCTTGAGGACAAAGGTGCGCCAAGCCATGGTATTTTCAATAACCTCATATGCATGCGAAAGCTGGACAGTGAATAAGGAAGACAGTAGAAGAATTGATGCTTTTGAATTATGGTATTGGAGGAGAATATTTAAAGTGCCATGGGCTGCCAATAGAACCAACAGATCTGTGTTGGAAGAAGTGCAGCCAGAGTACTCCTTGGAGGCCAGGATGGCCAAATTTCGTCTCTCATATTTCAGACATATTGTCAGGAGGGACCAGTCCTTGGAGAAGGATATCATGTTTGGTAAGGTGGCGGGTCAGAGAAAAAGAGGAAGACCACCACAAAGCTGGATTGGCCATGTGGCAGCATCAATGGACTCAAGTGTGGCAACAGTAGTGAGGTTGGCCCAGGATCGGTCATTGTTTCATTCTGCTGTGCATAAGGTCGCTATGGGTCAGTACCTACTTGATGGCACCTAACAACAACAACAAAAGACTGGTCACTCCTGATAAAATGTTCAAAGTACATGAGACCAAGTCTTAACCATTCTTGTATGTAAGGAGCAGTCTGACTGTACCTCTTTCAAGATGGATTTCTTTTTAATTCTGTCAGTCTGTGATACTTTCAGTATTGGCCAATACCAAACCAGTATTAGAAACATGAGCTTTGTTCAGAAGTTTACTCATATTACTAATACATACTTCTTTCTGTAACTCATTACAGAAATTTGGGCAACAGAACATATACAAGAAACTAACTTTGGAATACTTCATTTTACAATTCTGTTTTCGATTTTCTTTGCCATACCGTTTGACCTACAGTGACCTGGAAAATGCTTGATTTGAAATGATGTGTGTGCATACTAATTGGTTACTGTACTTCTGAAGGTATTTGAAGAATTACTGCTTGATGCAGATTGGAGCATCAATGCTGGGAGTTGGATGTGGCTGTCTTGTAGCTCCTTTTTCCAGCAGTTTTTTCACTGCTACTGTCCTGTTGGTTTTGGGAGAAGAACAGATCCCAATGGAGACTATATCAGGTAACTAAGGATTCTTCTTACTAAGCTTGGTGGAAGAACTAATCCAGGAAGAATTTCTCATGTTTAAGTAGCACTGAAGGTACCCCTGATCCTGAGGTGAGCAGGATCAATCTAATCAATAGATTACTTAAATAGGATCAATTTAATTGTGGTTGTGTATAGCTAATTAGTTTGTTAAATTTTGTTTACAGTACATTTTAATAATGATTTTTCTTCCTTCTCCTAAAAAGGCGTTATTTGCCTGTCCTGAGGGGCTTCCCCGCAAAATACATATATGATCCCTGGAATGCACCGGAGGGTATCCAGAAGGTAGCCAAATGTTTAATAGGAGTTAATTACCCAAAGCCAATGGTGAACCATGCGGAGGCAAGTCGTTTGAATATTGAAAGAATGAAACAGATATATCAGCAGCTTTCACGATACAGAGGACTGGGTATGTCAGTAATTGCCTTTAATCTGATTCTTTGACTGCTGGCTATGTACATAGATCCTTGAATTCTGTCATCATTGAATAGGAACTTTTTTTCCCTTAGGTCTCCTTGCATCAGTGCCTTCTAATCCTAATGGGAATGGAGGACTCATGGGCTATTCTCCTGGAGAAAATATCCCAGGTTGTAGCAGCAGTGGAAGTAAGTGCAAAGGAAAGTTCTACCTTGTGAACAAAGGACTAGTAACCAAGAACCAATGTGTATTGACCCTCACGTGCACACACACACACACAACCTTTCTCACTCCATCAGTGACATTTTAGAGGTGAAAACCATCACTACTGTAGTAGAATGTGCATCAAGTTAAAGATCTTCTAAAATGAATGACAGGATCATGTTTTTACAGGGTAATATGAAATTCAAATTTCACAATTTCAGAATGGTCATTATTTTTCACTCTCTTGAAATAACACATCATTGTTGTCGTTAAGTGCCGTGAGTTGCTTCCAACTCTAAACCATCCTGTATATAGAGTTTCCAGGGAGTGTGTGGTGAGTTTGAACTAACAACTTTGCGGTTAGCAGTCCAGTACTTATTCAACAGCAACACACCAGGACACATTAGCTATAAGATAATTAGTTTAGAAGGCCTTATGAAAATGGACAAAAGCTTTGTCATCTACAAAGATTGGGCTGTTTGTTTGCTTCAGGGCTTCAGTGTGTGGGGTTTTGCTTACAAAGTCTGGTCTGTGATGGAATTGTGTGTCATATATTTGTTGTTGTTGTTAAGTGCTGTTGAGTCGATTCCGACCCATAGCGAGCAGCTGGTGAGCTTGAACCACTGACCTTGCAGTTCAAACGACTTTGCAGTCTGAGGCATTAGCCCACAGCACCACACCAGGACTCCCATAGATATTTAGTTACCACATAAATTTTTAGTATGTGTGATACTAATAACAACTAAGAAGACTAGCATTTATATCATTATATGAGTTTTCAAAGGCTCTGAGCAAAAATAGCATGAGGCTAATTGGTTAAAAACAAAGCAGCATTTGAGGAATGGTTATTAAAAAAAAAGAAAGAAAGAAAGAAAAGAAACCAAATGCTGTAAATTGGTTATAAGAATAAACTTTTTTTAAAAAACATGACCCTTTAGAAGTCACACGGTTACTAAGGAGTAAGCACAAAGCTCCTCTTCTTTCCCTGTAGTGCTGAGCCTCTCCTGGACTCCAGCACTGCTCTTTCTCAGTAGCTACAGGTGAAAGCCCACTAGGTGCTATTCCTGACGTTCTCTCCTGTCTCCTGTGTTGCTCACAGTCTGCTCCGTCAGCCTACACGGGAGTGGGCCGGAGCTGTGGGAGGCACCGAGTTAGCTAGCAGGCCACAGCAGAGTACCCGCTAACTGGCAGTGACAGCCCTGTCTGCTCCAGCTCCTTCCTCTGGAGTTAGCTTCAAAAGCTATCATGGTAGCAAGTTAAGTTGGAATTGTACTCACAAATTTGTAAACATATGGTGATCGTGGTGGTATGCCATGGAGTTGGTTCTGACTCATAGTGACCCTGTGTAGCATTTCTGAAGGAAGCTGTAAATCTTTATAGGAGCAGAAAGCCTCATCTTTCTCCCATGGAACTACTGGTAGTTTCAAACTGCTGACCATGAGGTTAGGAGCCCGACTCATAACCACTACGCTACAAGAGCTCTTAAACATATGGTAGTTTCTATATGATAGAAAAAATTTTAAACCTAGAAATTGTTCATGTAGCTTCAGAAAGTTTGTGGAAAAATGGAATGACAAGACAATGACATTTTTTCATGAAATTTTGGAAGCCCCTCATATTTGTCTGCAACACACTTTATGGCTAGGTGCTGTGAGGCTTTCAAAGGACATCTTGTGTTTGTAGGGTGCCATGGAGTCGATCCTGACTCACGACAACCTTCTGTGACACAATAGAACTGCCCCATCAGGTTTCTTAGGCTGTAATCTTTATGGATTCAAAAGATACGGTGGTGGGTGGTGGTGTGCTGTGAAGTCGATTCCTACTCAGTGATCCTGTGTAGGGTTTCTGAGGCTTTAAATCTTTACAGGAGCAGAAAACCTCATTTTTCTCCCTCGGAGCATATGGTGGACTTGAATTGCTGGCCTTGTGATTGACAGCCCAACACGTAACCCACTACGCTACCAGGGTTACCTTTCCAAAGAGCTAGAAGATATAAAAGCCACATTTTATAGTTTAAATGAGGTGTGGCGAGGAAACAAAAACAAATGAGAAAAGTGATGCATTTTAAGATGCTGCTTCTACATGCATCAGGTAAAAAGGAAGAGCTGGTTGAGGGCTGAGGAACTGTGCAGCTCTGTGGGACAATGAGCGGGAGAAGCATTTGGGTAGGCAGCTGAGGGACAGGCATTCTAGACCAGAACTGAGAATACTCGTGGAAAGACCTGTAGCATTTGAATAAGCTGTTAAGCATTTTCCTCTTGGGTTTCTGCCCTTTTGAAAGGATTTACAGACTTGCAAGGCATTATTCCTTCTTGCCCTATGCTTCTTCTGTCTGTTTCCTTTGATTTTAGTCCTCACAAAGGCACTTCAGAGGACTTTATGACTTTTCTCAGGTGTGTAAAGTACTGGAGAATTGCTGATGTCTGCAGTACAAATTACATTTTTCTCCTCTTGTTTTTTTTTTAACCATTTTTTCTTTTCTTAGCTGTATGTTTTCTCCTCAGGGAAGGATTAAACTGTACATTGTTTTTGTTGTTGTTAAGTGTGGTTGAGTTGATTCTGACCCATAGCAACCCTGTGTCCTGAAGTACTTTTGTGCTTATAATAAAAACAGACGACAGTCTGTTTAGTATAGCAGTTATGTTTTAGCTTTTTTTTTTTTTCTTTGATTATTGTAAAATACCTATTCATCAACATCACTAGTTTTTATGGAAATGCAAATTAAAACCACTTCATTCTCACTTTGGGTGACCAAGTATCTCTGGTTGTCTAGGATTGAATGGTTTTCCAGGACACAGGACTGTCAGTACTAAAACCTGGTGCTCTATTTCTGAAAAAATCAGTTCCCCATCAGGTCACCACGAACTGAAATCAGTGCAATGACAACTGTTTGAGTTTTAATGGCAGCTTTATGTTTAACTTTTTAACTAACTACCAAACTGTTTTCCAAAGTGGTTGTACCCTTTCAATCCACTCTAGCAATATGTGAGGATTCCAGTTTCTTCACATTTTCTACACTTGTTATTGTCTGTCTTCTTTATTTTAACCACTCCAATGGCATGGCACTGTAGGATAAGCACTGGACTATTTATCGCCAGGTCAGCAGTTTAAACGCACCAGCCGCTCCTCAGAAAACCTATACAGGTTGCTATGAGTCAGAACTGACTTGACGGCTTAACAACAACAATAATGGGTCTGAGAAGCTGGATTATGTAAAGAAAAATGTGGCATCAGAATTAGAGAAAGACTCATTAGTAACCTGCGATATGCAGATGGCACAACCTTGAGATATCAGTAATGGTCATTAGTTTATTTTATTACTTTACGGTGGAGATATCCCTTTCTAGTGATGAAAGGCATCATCCCTGATCCAGGGCATATACTTTCCAAATTTTGCCGTATCTGAGATTTTGACCTATCTGTTCTGTTCAGGCCGTGAGGTGACTGTGCATTCTAAGGACTAGAATGCTCACATTATCCCAGAATCTTGACACATCAACCAGAAATGGTTCTCTAAAGCTACTTTTGGAGTCCTGGTGTGGTGCTGTGGGTTAATGTGCCAGACTGCAAAGCCGTTTGAACTGCAAGGTCAGCGCTCAAGCTCACCAGCTGCTCCTCGGAAACAGGGTCGCTATGGGTCAGAATCGACTCTATGTCATTTAACAACAACAAAGCTATTTTTTGTGATAGCCAACCACTCTCTTACACTTTCTTTTTTAAAAGGGTTGATATATAACTGATCAGGTTAAGAAACTTCTAGATGGTCTACGTCTCCTTCCTACTTTGAGACGCGTATTGCTTAATACTTATCTGGTCGACCCTATTCACTATCTCCAAGGCAGTAAGTGGGAGGAAGACTTTGGAAGAGTGGGGGACAGGATGTGAACTAAGCATGTATATCTCACTGCTTTCCCCAGTTTTGCCTCATGATTGTATCTAATAGCTGTCACTCAGTAAAACTTTTTATTTTTTAGATAATAAATACCAGTAATATTGTCTTTGAACTGTCACCCTTTCTACAAGACTACATTTCCTGATTGGAGCATGTAGATTTTGAATCATATGGAAACTTGAGGTTTAGTCCTAGAAGCATCCCAGATATTAAATATAAATACTAAAACTTGGATTGAAAATTGGAATGCATACTAGTTGGAATGACATTTAAGTCATTATATTGTGTTTTAAATGCTGACAGGCAGCTCTCAAGGGAGTGGTATTTTACACTGTGCTCATGGAGACAGCCAGCAGCCTCACCTGTTAAAGCAAGGTAAGAATGAAGCATCCACACATACTATTCGTTTCACCTTTTCTATATTAAGCGTGCATTTTTGCATGTGTAGGAAGAAGTCCCATGCGCCCTGGTCTCAGCAGTGGGAAACGACCCAGTCAAGAAGAGGAGACGCAGGGTGTTGGTTCTAAAGTCCAACGACAGAGCACTAATTAGGTGATGATTTTAGACCCTTATTTCTTCCTTATGTACAGTTAATATAAATTAAGATGATTTCCACAATTTAATTCATCTGTTTTCAAAACAATCTTGGAGACATAAATCTCTCAGAGATTATCGTAAGGACCAGTTCTCAGACAAGAGGAGTAGGTCTTTGCTGGGGAAGTGGTGCTCCAGTGTTTGGGGCAGCCAGAGCCAGAGCCCACCATCTTTAAACCGAATAAGTGAAGTGTTTTGTGGTCAAGCCTTTTCTTACAAAAATATCTTTTTCATTTTCTTACTATGTGACCATGAATCTAAAACAATTGAAGAGACCTTTACATTTTAGTGGTATTAAGATAATCTCTTTATGAACTCTCCCCAAATTTTTGCCTCTTAAATGTTTGAGTTTCTTTTATCTATCATACTTGTAAAATTGAAATTCTTCCTATTCTGGGAATAGTTTGAATTTTTTGAAAATGCAAATCCTGTTTGGAAATATGAAAAAGCCATGCCAGTATTTAAATAAATTTTACAGTGTATTTGCCAGTTTTTAAGGACTTCAGTTATCTTAAACTGTACTTTTTATAACTTTTTAATGCCAACTTAATTTAGATTGTAAATTTCTTGAAGATAAACATGACATTTTTATTATTTGTTTTTCTTTTCTTCCTTAAATCACAGAAACATTCAGGCGGACACTGGTGCAGCTGAAATTGGTGGGGAGCTCAGTGCTTTTTCAGTTAAATGATTTTAAAATGTTCATTGATGGAAGGAGCAGGTACATTTCAAAATGCATTGTTTCTAATGATGGTTCTGTGGTTTTTAACTTTTTAATGAATTTCACATCAGACAAATAGTAATTTGTACATAAAGAACTTGGTCAATGAATTTGCGTAATGTAAATATAGTCACAATTAGTATAGACCCTTCAATATATTTTTGATAATTTTTCATGTATGGTTAAAGTTAAAGCTTCAAACTGATGTTCTGATATAAAATCAAAGTTTTACAAGTCAATGTGGGAAAATAGGAGGTTTTTAGACTTTCTTATTAAAAGACTTTGTTAAAATTTTAGGTCAGAATTTTCTTGACATCATGTTTGATTTAACTTTGCGCTCTTTGATACTAATGTCTTAGAAAACGTGTGATCAAAGCTGCCAGCTGCAGCCTGTTATCAAACTGTGTGTTTGTTCTAAAGCTTCACATCGGTCTGTTTGGTGGACCCGGGCTTCTGATAGTCATCCTATCTTAAGTATCTTACCCTCCTCTGTCTCCTCTTTACGTACAGCTAAAGTGACCTTGTTATTAAAGTATATATGAATAGGGAACCTTTGTGTATCTGGTGTTTTATTCTCTTTTCTTTTTTTTCCCTCCCACCCAGGGAGGAAAGGTTCTGTTTTAACTTGAATAAATCAGCATTTTAATAAAAATTATTCCAGAATGGTGGTGGTGGTTATGTGGTGTGGGGTCGGTTCCAACTCATAGCAACCCTGTACAGGGTTTCTGAGGCTGTAAATCTTTACGAGAGCAGGAAGCCTCATCTTTCTCCCGTGGAATAGATGGTAGTTTCGAACTGCTGACCTAGCCCGATTTGTAACCACTACGCTAGAATAGATTCTAGTAATTGCTTACAATGTATAGGGCTTAGGGGCTTCTTAAGGCTTTTTTAGTTTGGTCTAAAATGTGTTGAACAAGTAGCACTAAAAGGAAGAGAGAGGAACTAAATCAATTGAGCAGATTAATAAGTATGTTTGAGGGCAATATTTTCACCCTAACTCAGAGGGTTTGTTGTTGTTATGTGCCTTCGAGTTGGTTCTGACTCATAGCATTCCTGTATAGGGTTTCCAGGGAGTGACTGGCGAATATGAACCACCAACCTTGCGGTCCAATGCATTGCCCCACAACACCACACCAGGAGTCCCCTCTATATGGTAGGGCAATCAGTGATCCAAGGGTTTAAGACCTCTTACTCATTCAGCAAACACTTCTTGAACTGTGCTGAGCAACTTGGAAAAATGGAGTTGAGGGAACCAAGCTTTTGTTTTCACATTTACCTAAAATAGTGAATGTGGGATACATAAAAAACAATGATAGTATTTGTGTACATGTCCCCCACCCCACCCCCCCATGAAAAGGAATGGAAGCAAATCCTGTTGAATGATGATGCATGGAGGAGATTGGAATCATTGCAATGAAGCGATGGTGTAAAGCTGATGTTCTCCCATGTAAATAAACTATCACTCAGTTCACAATAAAAAAAATAAAGATGATAGTATTATCATTTTTAATGTATCTTACATTAAAAACTTTAGGGTCTTCCCACATTTTACCACATTTTAAATATATGCTTCTAATTGTCTAATTTTTCTTGTAGCTAATGCACACTGTGGTAGTTTCTTTCCCACAGTTCTCCATTGTCCATCCAGTTTTTTTCCCCTCGATTGTATGCATTGGACACTGTAAATACTGGCGGTGAGAGAAAGATAACACAGGGTAGCATGTACTTCCTGTAGCAGGCCTAGCTGAGTTGATCAGTTTCCTGATGACAATGCACAGGTGCTACAAGTGTGCAGGTGTTAGCCCTCATTGATGATCTAGACTCGGGGAATCAGTGCTCTCCGCTCTCCCTCCGGAGTTCGCATCCCTCCTCTGTATCCTACACCTGCTTCACTTTTCCTAAATGCAAATGTCACGATTTGATTATAAAACTACAGGGATGGGAAAAGGGAGAATCAGACAGTGTCTCTGAAGGCAGGCATCGGGAGGGGCAGCAGTGTATGGATTCTGGTTTTATTTTTAACTAGAGTTCATTTGTAAATTTGGTCTTACCTGTTGACTTACTTTGGGAAATCTGAATGGCTTTTTCCACTTTTTATTGTGAATTGAGTGACGGTTAATGTAGCAGATCATCAGTGTTGGCAGTTATGAGTTAATATACACCTCCCACCGGTTCCAGTCGTCTCATTGTAACATCACTTATCCCCCTTCCTTGCCCAGTTTCTTCAAGCCTTCTGCACTTTGTCCCTGGGTGATCTCCACTGACCGATAATACTATGTTCTGTAGCTGCACACTAGTGCTGTTGTCCCCCACTACTTATCTGCTGTTGTTCACAGTGACCCCGGATAGGGATTCTGAGGAACGGATGGTGAGCTTGAACTGCCAACCTTGCAATCCACCGCATACACCTGCAGCACCACACCAGGACTCCATCGTATTGTTGTGAAGTGCCGTCGAGTCGGTTCCGACCTATAGCGACTCTGTATAGGGTTTACAAGGAGCAGCTGGTGAACTTGAACTGCCTACCTTGTGGTTCAGACCGATTTTACAGTTCAGCTCATTAACCCGCAGGGCCACGCCAGGGCTCTATTACTGGCTGCAAATGGAACACCGAGGGTGAGGCCAGTTTCAGACCTGAAGGGTGGCGGAGAGCCTGCCTTTTATGATTTTGAGTTCTATTCCACATTTCCCCTCACTTTACCCAGGGCCTTCTCTAATGGGATCCCTTTCAAAGCAGGTGGTAGTGGTAGCTGGGCGGAGACTGATGTTTATGTGGGCCGTTGAGCTAATTGATGCCAAGTGTCTTCAGTTTTCATCACTCTTATTCTCCTCTGCATCAATAATTGCACTTTAGATGGCCTCTCAGGCTTTGAAGACCCCAGTCACACTCACCAAAACAGGATGCAGAACATAGCCTATGGACAGTTATGCCAGTTGACGATGGTGTCCCCTGAGACAATGGTCCTGAGTCCCCAGGGCCCAGACACTCTGAATTACTTAAAGCCGTTTCTCTGGTACTTCTACTTTTTTTTCTTTATGGCTGTGACATTCCTCAAGAGGCAAAGCAACTGGAATCCTAACTTGCCTAAAGCGCTGGGACGGAAGGGAAGAAAACGCCTAGGCGCTCCTGGTTAGTACTGGGGTGTTTTGGTTTCCACTCCCGCTGCCCTACCCACCGCCCTGTTCCGTTCCACCCCGGCCTGTGGGCATCCCGAAGGTCACATGGCCTGCATCCCGTGCACTGATTGGCTTGTGGGGCGTTCCTGTTTTCTGTTCCCTGATTGGTTGCTGGCAGGCGAGTCGGCGCCGCGCCGCTCTAGTAGATACGCGAGCTGCGGGGAGTCTCGGCGGTGGAGGACTCTTGGACAGAGCTAGGCCCCGGGCAAACTGTCTGCTGCGCGGACAGACGCCGTTGGTGAGTCACGTTCGTCCGTCGTAGAGCGGCCGGGAGCTGGGCGTGGGGCCGACACCACAGGATGAAAGCACCGTGCGCCGCGGTCGGTAGTGGCTCTGGGAATGCGAAGGCCCCACATACTTATTGCCCTTGGATGGGTCCCGGGCATTAGATTAATGTGAAACTGTCAGTTCATCATACCTCACTGAAACTCGTGGTGCTGTAGGGGAGCCTGAGTTAAACACGAAAATTGAGCGTATGTACTATGAACCGCAAGGTTGACAGTTCAAACCCACCAGCTGCTCCTCCGAAATGTATACAGGGTCGCTATGAGTTGGAACCGATTCGATCTCAACTACCAAGTAACAACAAAGTGGATGTTGGTTTTTTTCATTATCAGAGGCTAGCTGACACTGATTCAACACGCATTTGCCGAAAGCATTACTATGTGTAGGGCCCAGGACATGACTTGTGAATGTTTGTAAACTCTTTCTTCCCTAAATAATCCAGGTACGTATTATGTCATAGTCTTGGAATCCAGGGGGGAAAAAAAATGTTTAAGCTTGCTTGCTTTAAAAATATGAAAGCCAGCAAAACTTGAGCTCCATTAGTGGGATACAGGTGTGATGAGAAGCTCTAGTCCCACCTTGGAAGAACCTGGAGTGCAGCGGAAGAAAGGTGGTCCTCTGGTTGAGCTGACTGAAGTCTGCAGCCTAGGAAACCCTGTAGAGCAGATCTCTGCCCTATAGGATTGGCTGAGTCCGAATCTCTCAGCAAAACACAGCAGCAACGTAGAGGAAGCTAAAGCGTTTGAAATCAGTTATTACTGACAAGTGGCTTTCCATGTCTGTTGCTTGTTTGCACCAGCAGGTGTCTATTACTATTCTTGAGTCTTGACCTAGAATTGACAGACATTTAGGTGAAATTGGCAAGCCCTGGTGCATTCGGAAAACTGAAATCATTTGAAGCTGAGTTCTTGAGCTGATGTATTTCTAGCGATGTGAGTTTCGTTTTCCCTAGCGTGGTAGGTGTGTTTACTGAGTGCCAGTCGCATGCTAATATGTACATTACATGGAGTGGGCAGTTGTTAAGCGCAGTGGAGTCATTTCAGACTCATAGCGACTCTGTATAGGTTTTTGAACCTTAAGGTTCAAAGGACCTTGCAGTCCAGCGCATTAACCCAGAGCGCCACACCAGGCAGTTGTTGTTAAGTGCCATCTAGTTGGTTCCGACCCTTAGCTACCTTGTATAGGGTTTCCGAGGAGCGACTGGTGAACTTGAACTGCCGACTTCGCAGTTCAAACGGCTTTGCAGTCGGGCGCATTAACCCACAGCGCCCCACCAGGACTCCACAACAGGCAGTATGCGCTGGTAATGAAGAGCAGAGACAAGATTTGCCATTCCTTCTGTGTGTGATGTTGGGCATATTAATTGACCACGTTTCTGTCCTTATCTTTAAAATCGGTTGTTGTGATTATTAAGCAGTGTGTTTGAAGAGCTTTCGGAATATTTGGTGCACTTGGTGGCATCTGGCTTTATTGTTAACTCCTCTCCATTGCCCAGTGAGTTCATGTCCCCATTTTCCTAATGATGAAGCTTAAAAAAAGTATCTTCTGCAAGTCACACCACAACTACCATCCAGGGATTAGGCGGAGGCAGACTAGCTCCAGTAGCCCAACATTTTACCCACTGCCTCATGAACTTGATTTAGTCACCATTTGCACTTGACAAACACTGATTTTGTTCCTCTGTGCACCAACTTCTTTGCTGGACACAGAATAAAGCAGAACAGGACTGGGTTCTGACGTCCCAGAAATAGTAATCTCATGTAGATGGCTCTTGGCTGGGTGCAGGGGGCCTCTGAATCCTTTTGAAACCATTTACCAAGTAGAGTGGTAATGAATAGTGGGTTTGAGTGATTTTTCTCTGGCAGAAGAATCTGGCTCTCATCGGATTCCCACATGGATATGTGATCTGAAGCAAGATGAGGAAGTATGGTTTTAACAGAAGAGCTAGCAATGCCTAGCATCATGCAGACACACAGTGTAAGCTAAAATACAAACAACCGCCTTACTGGGTAAATGAAGAAGAGCTGGTAAGAGTACAAATGCTACAGTCAGGTCAAGACCGGGGGCTGCTGCAGAGCACACA